AGCGGGAGGAGAGCGCGGCTCCGCTCGGCTCCGCTCCGCGCCCGCACCGCCACCGGCACCGCACCGCCGGGCCCGGCACGGCGCGGCCGCGCAGCTCCGCCGGGACACAACGCCGCAGACCGGCGCCCGGGCACACGCACCGCCGCCCTGGCATGATGAGTCCTCAACCCCAGCGCGATCCTCGCTCCGCGTTTAAAGCCAGGCCCTTTAAAAACTTTGGCTCCTTTTTTCGGGGGATTGTGTTTTTCAGAAACCCCTAGGTCTGGAGACCTAGACTGAGCTGCTGGCTTTAGGTTAAAAGTTGGGATTTGTTTGGGGTTACAGGAAAGTAAAAAAAAGTTTTTATCCTATTAAAACTAACGTTATGTCAACAATTTGGTTGATTTCCTTCATATTAAAACTGTAAACCACTATAAGCTTTGTGGGCGGGAGGGGATCCCCAGAAAAATGTAAGGGCAGGGGGCTCCCCAGAAAAATAAATGCAAGGTCACCTTGAAAAAGATAAGATTTGATCCCCTGACAAGCTACAATATTTAAGTATTTTTAGCTATGTTCTTATCAGCCTTGCTGGAAACAAATTGCATGAATTTCAACTACTTAAAAAAGTTTTAGGTAACCTAAAAATGTTAATTTGAAGTCAAAGGTTATAGCACTAAGAGTTTATTGATGCTATTCTACAGTTTACTTCAGCTGAAAGCACTAATAATTTTATTCAAAGCTTTTTTTGTTATAGAAAACTAATCCAACTTACACCATTCACTTCATTCATTGAAAACAATTTAATTCTAAAAAGTTAATTCTTTTAGCAGATAATTCAGAGAAGCCTGGTTTATTAAAAAAACCCCACATATTTATTGAAAACAGATATTTCTGTTACATATCTCTGCATGCAGAGATATGTATGGTAATGCTTTTAAAACAATAAAAAAATATCTTTAAGACCCTTTTTCTGCTAGTAATGGTAATTCCCAAGGACTTTACTATTTTCTTCCTAAGTAACTTTGTTAAAACTCCTTAGTGGCAAGGATTTGAAAACTTCATTTAGTTGCATATCCTTCTTTATTTGCTTCACACAGCTTAATAAAACTCTTAAAATGTTATAGGTTTTTTGAGCAATTATATCAAAATGGTTATGGGCAATGTACTAAGTGGACCTTCTCAAAGAAAGCCAGACTGCTAATCTTAAAAAAAATCTCAGCCTAGCAGTATTGTTTTTCAGTTAAAATATATATATATATAAAACCAGATTCTAAGTCATCAACCAATTCCAAACTTTTGCCAAAGCCAAGACTCACGTACAAACCTTGTTTACATGCATACCCACAGTAGAAAACTGAGCTGAAGTTTCAAATCACACCGTAACTGGAAAGGTTAGGCCCAAACAAACAAACCTTAGCCCAGGTC